TAGAAGACCGCACTGGAGTCTCAACTCTTACAATGGTACAAGGGCTAGCTCTGGTACACACAGGAGTCACAATCTGAAAAGGAGTGGGGCAACACCGGGTCCCATCTCTCGAGAAGCAACCTAGCCATCGAACCTTGACCGAGAAATACTGGAGGCATCAAACCTCACCCTCTTGGGAGGAGGGGAAGACATCACCCTAAAAGTGTAGAAAACCTCCACCATCGCCCTATCAACAGGGCGCCTGTAATTAGAGACAAGGTTAGTATAATAAACCAACATCGAGAAAACATAAAGAAAAAAACAAGATTGGAGAAAAGCGGGTTCGCCTCTTACCCAGTCGAAAACCATCATAGTATCTCTACTTGGTAAAAATCCAGAATGCCAATCCGTCGCCCATGAATGCCTGACAGTTATCTGCCAGAACGCAACTTTCCACCATTGCCGGTTTCACTAATTTATGCTTAAAACTCAAATTCAGAGAGATAGAAGCATTTTTTGAGAAATTTTTTTGACCAAATTGCCTTTGGCAATTAACATGTCATAGATCTCGAAAAATACCTAAATTCAACAAAAAATTCGCCCCAAATGGATAACCGAGCACAAAGTTACGGCCATGCAAAGTTTTGCCCTTTTTCATAGTTTTCTAAATACTCCGACCAACACCCAGCGCCTGCAAGGCGTCGCCTAGCCTGACACTGCTCCTGGCATCGCCCCAGCAGCCTCCTGGGTGCCGCCCTAGCTCGCTCTTGTCCCACCTCACTCCAGCACCTGCCCAACACCTTAGGCGTCACCTAGCTACCTAAGGGCATCGCCCAATCCACTGTCGCCTATGTCCCTACGCCTGCAAGGCGTCGCCAACAAACCCTTCTACGCCATGAGCGTCGCCCGTCAACCTTTTTTGTCATCGCCTGTGATTGGTGTCACCATACCCAACGCCTAGTCGGTGTCACCACCTCCCACGTGCTGTTCACCTCCTTTGCCGAAGTAGCCTCCAGACGTGTCATGGGCGCCGCCAACCTCTCCACCCCCATGGGTGTTGCCTAGGGCACACTAGGCGTCGCCTCCTCTAGCACTATTTAGCTTGCCTCCTCTGGCACTGCCATAAGGATCCTTGAGCGTCGCCTTTGGCTTCGCCATGGCGTTGCCTCGGGCTTTGCTTGGATTTGTCGAGGTGTTGCCTTGGGCTTCATCGAATTAGCCTAAGCACCTGATTCTGTCTACTATCCCCTTAACTGCCTTACTTGTCGACAGTGATCTCACCACACCTCTCTAAACACTTTCTCTCTGCTAGTTATTGCGCCACTCCTGGAACTAGCCTTGTCTCTCCCTCTCTCTTACTTTATTTCATCAATAAAGGTTTATCGGCCACCGTAGCCGTTTCTCGAAGTGGAGTAGGTTATCCGAATCGAACCGCTATATATCTGTGTGTTAACCCAGTATTTACCTTTTTTTCCATTGATTGCTTTATTAATTATCCATTAATTACACCTTATCACACATTCGACTGTTAATCTTGCACGAGACAGTTTTGTGCATCATCATCGTCTATTCACAATGTCTTTATTTATTCTTATTTTGAGTGTCTGAGAACCACAAACCAGCCACAAAATGCTAAGCCTTCACCTATTGTTATCTCAACCCCAAGTAATTAGAGACGGAAAGGCTTTCAAATGTGTATCGGGCATATGAAACCATGGCAAGAACTTTTAACGTGCAGAAGGAAGCCAGTGAAGAATTTGCTACAATAAGAAATATGGTTGTGTTTCAAATAAGAGTGGTAATTTCTACCGCAACCATGAAAACATGACTTGAAATCGACAAGAAATTAGTAGGTTAGGATTGATCATTTCTCAATACAAACCCACATATGACACAACCCGTTATGGGTTTGAATAATGTCAAATACGAACAACGCGAAACTGACACGATTAACACATTTAAGTATTATTATAAGAATAAAATACATTTTTATTATATTTTATCAAGTAGGGAACTAATTTTTATGCAAAAAAGATATTTTTATTGATTTTTATTATTATATTTATTAAGTTAATTTTTAATTTATTAAAAAAAAATATAAGCATAGGTACGATTAAATGATAATGAAATTTAAGATATAAAACTAAACGTTAAATTTTTTATTCACAAGTTATACGGATAAAACAANAGCATAGGTACGATTAAATGATAATGAAATTTAAGATATAAAACTAAACGTTAAATTTTTTATTCACAAGTTATACGGATAAAACAAATACAATTGTCATCCTAGTTTCAAAATGTGTGGCATCCTGTCTGATATGTTGGTCCAATATCAGACAGGATGCTACAACTTATTTTTTTACTTGGTTTCACCAAGAGCAAGCATTCTTTCTAGAGGAAAGAGTGGCATCTTCACTTTCCAATTAGAGTTATGTTTACATAGTTCGATTTCTCATGCTATGTACGATGTTTCAGTGAAGGAATAGTCAAGTGGATGTCCATTTAAACGTAAGTCAGAATTGTTGCAAATTGTGTACACAGAAGTGAATGGGCATATGAAAAACATGTTTGGTAGTGCTTTTGATTAATTCCAGCATTATTTTCTGATTTATCCCCCTTGAACTTCTCATTACATTAACAGTGTTAGAGAGCGGTTGGAGACAAACAAATGTCTGGCTCCCCATGTCTCTGTGTCGAAATGGTTTGTCACCAGACCCACCTCTACGGTAGGAGTTTAATAAATAATGTAGTTCTTGTTGTATAGAAACACAATTACCACGATCAAAGTTGTCCTATGCATTCCAAGCTATTGTATCTTACAACCCAAATTGGGCATATTCACGTCAGATCATCCAAAAAATGTTACCCCAAATTATAATATTTTTGTAACTGATCTTCATGAATACACACAGAATTTAGCAAAAAAGGGGGAGAGAGAATATTACATAAGCAGTCATAAGTATGTACATATCGAATGAAGAGAATATTCGTAAGCAGTCATAAGTAAGTACATATCAAAAAGAGAGAATTTTCCTAGGCAGTCAAGTTAAGTAAAAGTACATATCAAAAAGGGAGAATTTTCCAAAGCATGTTTGTATTATACTGAAATTATAGTAGTTCAAAAGAAACAACAAAGATATTTTCAGCTTCCATATCCAGAATTTGCTTCTTAAGTTTCGTCATTCCCTCGTACACATCTAGCAGATCTGTTGACNTTCAGCTTCCATATCCAGAATTTGCTTCCTAAGTTTCGTCATTCCCTCGTACACATCTAGCAGATCTGTTGACTTGTCCATCAGCACACTTCTCGGTGTGTTTATCTCAGTTTTGAGTTTACCTAAAGCTGTTAATGTGCAAGCATTGACTTGCTTTTCAGCTTCCTTATGTAACGCAAGCTCCACATAATCCTTGTTTCAGGTTTTGAGCCAGTCGAGTCCCTTCAAAATTCTCTCCTTAGAAACAAGGGAAGAATGCCCAGGCAAAAATTCTCGTAGGAGTTGTGCCCCAGCATATCCATGTCCAAAGAGTGCGAGGGCAATAACAATTGCTCGCACAGAAAATTTTCTCCTCACTGGGATTTCCACCATGCTCTTCACCTAGTCCTTGGTTTGGCTTGGAGTAAGAGCAGCCCTTTTAGCAACTATATTTTGCCACATACCCAGAATGGTTCTGCAAAAGAAAACAATACATTTTACTTCAAAACATAACAAGTAAACTTTTGGCAAGTAAAAATGATATGCAATATTTTTTTCCTGGTAAGTAACATGGTTTCTATTAACTGAATCTCTATATTCTATTTAAATGTAGTAGTGTTGAGAAGTCTCCAATCTTTCATTCCAAATTTTTGAATTTTTGATTTTTTTAGCCATGAAAATGCTTACTTGGCTTCTTATGATTAGTCCTTCCACCCATTTTTACGTCATTTAATCGTTTTTTCTCAAGATAAGGACAAGTCTATATTTAAACTAACTGATAACTCCCACTTCTCATGTAACCTCCAGGTTTCCAACTGTTCAACTTTCCACTCATTCACGTCTCTCTCTCCATATTCACATATCTCCAACCTTTTTGACTATTCATGCATGGTATATTACATAGCAGGGAAGAGAGACAAACCAGAATGGAACCCTACTGTGTGTGACGTGCATTGCTACGACATTATAGCAATGTTGCTCCCATCTGTTCGTTGAGGGTAAGTTCCAATACATTCATGCACATGGTGAATTTGAGGGTAATGGTTGCATGGGGTAGGCTATGTTTGATATGTTGCCCACCCCCCGAGGAAGGGGGAGGCAGTAGGCTGACGTGGTTTGGCTGAGGGGCTGGACTGTTGTGTTTGCAACTAGAGCTGGTGGGGGCTTGGAGCAATATCGATTGTGTTATGGAAAATCTTGAGAAGTTTTGTTATATCATTAGCAAAGCAAAAATGTAAAATCCCCTCCTCTTCATTTTTATAGAAAACACCATTTTATTAAAAGTAAAAAAATGAAGAGCAGAGATGGGTAAGTAGTCCAACCTAAATACAAACCATCGAAAAGCAGTACATAAAAAGGTAAAAAAAAAATCAAAACAAGAAAACAAGCTAATCAATCACAAGCCACCTTCCAGTTCACCAAGATTTCAAAAGGCGGAATATTTGCAAATTCCTTTGAAACCAAAGCACAAAAAAGAGTTGCAAAAGAGTGAATTCGGTTCCAAACCCCATCAAACTTTTCATACTTATCTTCAAAGATTCTTGAATTTCTCCCCAACCAAATCACCCAAATTATTGCATAGAAAGCACATCCCCAAAGAGTACTTCCTTTACTTCCCTTTCCAAAACCTTTATAATCCACAACCAACATTGTTGAAATTGTGAGAATCAAGAAAGAAAGAGGATCGAGATTACGATTGATCATAAGCATTTTAAAGTCAAGTTTGAAGGTTTGCATGGTGAACTTATTCGCATAACGGAATGGAATCAGTTTGGATATTTCTCATGCTTAGTGAATAGAAGTTGTGTGAGATGGTTGAAGGAGATGTTTTCTAAAGCTTTATCCAGGAATCAACAAGATATTTTCCTTAGAAAGTTTAGGAGGGATGAATATTGTATGTGGATGGAATTGGAAAATAGCAGGTTTGGGGAGTTTGCCAGGATTACACAAATGATGAATAATGGTAAAAGAAAGGGTTTGATTATTCCCCAAGGCTCCCAAGGCATTGGATGGAAAGGGTTTAGAGGATTAATGGAGGATGCTCTTTCAGGTGGAAGGAATACTCTGATACAAGAAGAAGAAAATCAAAGTTTGATGGTGGTATCAAAATGTAGAGTCAAAGAGCAAGAAAATGGGGCATGGGCTGAGATGCATAAGGAAAATACTCCTGCAAATGTTAAGGGGTATGAAAATATGCTTAAAGAAGAGGTTAAATGGAGGTGAGTTGTGGTATGTGTTAAAGCAAGTTCATTTGTGTACTCCCAGGCATGCTTAGTACAGGCTTTAAAAATAAAGATTCATCTACAGCCTTTCCAAGTAGACAAAGACATTTTTTTTCTACGAATGTTGAAGAAAACAAGAATGTTCAGTCAAAAGGAGAAAGGAATACTACAAGGCGAAGGTAGTACGGAGATTTTGTGCATTGGGTGAAAGGTTGAAGATGAGAGTTGTTGAAACTAGCATATTGGAAAATAAATCAGCCAAAAATGAGCTGCAAACAAAGGGGGATTACGTGTCAATAGGAGAAAGACAAGGCCACAATAAATGCAAAGATTTGGTTTGATTGAAAAAAATTCTGATGACTGGATCAGTGCCATTAATCTTGCTGATTTCCAACAGAAAATATTTGACAAGGATAATTCAAATATGGAATGTAATTTGAATTCAAAATCTGAGTTAATTAAGGATAAGGCAGAGGAGATGGATCACGAAGGGTTTTGTTAAGGAAGAAAGGTGGGCTGAGATAAAGAAACAAATGGGATGGAAACAAATGTTTTTACTAATGGGCTTGGTAAGGTGGGCCGTTTTAATTTAAGAGGGTTTTACAGAATTGTAGAGGCCTGGTCCACAAACGTTTGTTTGTTGGGGAGAGCTCAAATGATAGGGCTTTCTCACACAGGCAAAGGGGGGTCTCTCCGTAGACGAAGCAAAGGCTCTCCTTAAAGTCGAAAACTGATGATTAAGGTTGCTGAAGCTAATCGTCGAGCAAAGGGGGGATTGGAGCTTCTGATAGGATCTCCTTAGCCAAGGCAGAGTTGACAAGGGGCAAAGGAAGTAGTGAAAAAGGGGCTATAGTCGGAGAGGAGATCTGCGATGGTTGGCAAAGCTAGAGGGAAGATTTTGAAGTCCGTTTCGACATTATGGATGGACAGAGACACATACATTTGCTTTCAGAAGATGAAGAAGTTTGCTGCAAGAACTTCTAAAGATATAAATTAGCAAATAAGGAAGTAAAAAAGATAGTTCGATATGCTAAGTTTAAAAGCTTACGATGAATTGTACAAAAAAACTAGATAGTAAAGAGGGAGAAAAAGACATTTATAAACTAGCTAAAATTAGAGAAAAGAAAATAAAAGACTTTAACCAAGTTAAGTGCATCAATGGTGAAGACTCAAAGGCGAAAAGCTATNGATTGTGTTATGGAAAATCTTGAGAAGTTTTGTTATATCATTAGCAAAGCAAAAATGTAAAATCCCCTCCTCTTTATTTTTATAGAAAACACCATTTTATTAAAAGTAAAAAAAATGAAGAGCAGAGATGGGTAAGTAGNAAGAAACTATTAAATAAAAATCACTTAGGAAACTTAGAAGAGATAGAAAATGGTAGAATTCATGAAACATTTTTTTGTAAGATAAAGAATTCGGAGGTAAAATTTGCATTGAAGAAAATGAAATTAGGCAAGGCTTTAGGACCGGATGAGATTCCAATTGAAGTTTGGAAGTGCTTAGGGAATGATGGGGTGTTGTGGCTAACAAAATTATTCAATAGAATTATTGGTACTAAAAAAATGCCTAATGAATGGAGAAAATACCTATCTATAAAAATAAAAGAGATATTCAAAATTGTAATAAATATAGAGAGATAAAATTGATAAGTCATACAATGAAACTATGAAAAATGGTCATTGAACGTCGCCTAAGAGTTGAGACTACAGTCTCGGAAAATTAGTTTGGGTTTATGCCTAATAGATCAATTACAGAAGCTATATATTTATTGAGGACACTCATAGAAAAATATAGAGAGAAGAAGAAAAATCTCCATATGGTATTTATAGATTTAGAAAAGGTGTATGATAAAGTATCTAGAAATATAATATGTAGAGTGCTTGAGAGAAAAAAGAGTAATGAATAGATATATTGAGGTGATAAAGGATATGTATGAAGGAGTTATAACTACAATTAGATCTTCCGTAAGAGAAGGNTGATGGAATTGGAAAATAGCAGGTTTGGGGAGTTTGCCAGGATTACACAAATGATGGATAATGGTAAAAGAAAGGGTTTGATTATTCCCAAAGGCTCCCAAGGCATTGGATGGAAAGGGTTTAGAGGATTAACGGAGGATGCTCTTTCAGGTGGAAGGAATACTCTGATACANACGACATATAGTATTTACAGATGATATTGTATTAGTAGATGAAACTTGAAGGGGGATTAACAATAAGCTAAAAATTTGGAGAGAGATATTCGAGTCTAAAGGGTTTAAAATAAGTATGAGTAAAACTGAATATATGCAGTGCAATTTTAATAATAGAAGAAGTAGACATAGTGAAAAAGTTAAAATTGAAAATCAAGAATTACCAATGAATAAATGATTTAAATATTCTAAGATTNTCACATAGTGAAAAAGTTAAAATTGAAAATCAAGAAATACCAATGAATAAACGATTTAAATATTCTAAGATTGATCATTAAAAATGATGAAGAGATTGGAGATGATGTAACTCATAGAATTAACGCCAGTTGGCTTAAGTGGAGAAAAACCTCCGGCATATTAGGTGATAGAAAGATACCAATAAAATTGAAAAGTAAGTTTTATCGAACAATTNAGACAAGGCCACAATAAATGCAAAGATTTGGTTTGATTGAAAAAAATTCTGATGACCTGATCAGTGCCATTAATCTTGCTGATTTCCAACAGAAGATATTTGATAAGGATAATTCAAATATGGAATGTAATTTGAATTCAAAATCTGAGTTAATTAAGGGTAAGGCAGAGGAGATGGATCACGAAGGGTTTTGTTAAGGAAGAAAGGTAGGTTGGGATAAAGAAACAAATGGGCTGGAAACAAATGTTTTTACTAATGGGCTTGGTAAGGTGGGCCGTTTTAATTTAAGAGGGTTTTATAGAATTGTAGAGGCCTGGTCCACAAACATTTGTTTGTTGGGGACAGCTCGAATGATAGGGCTTTCTCACACAGGCAAAGGGGGGTCTCTCCATAGACGAAACAAAGGCTCTCCTCAAAGTCGAAAACTGATGGTTAAGGTCACTGAAGCTAATCGTCGAGCAAAGGGGGGATTGGAGCTTCCGATAGGATCTCCTTAGCCAAGGCAGAGTTGACAATGGGCAAAGGAAGTAGTGAAAAAGGGGCTATAGTCGGAGAGGAGATCTGCGATGGTTGGCAAAGCTAGTGGGAAGATTTTGAGGTCCGTTTCAACATTATGGATGGACAGAGACACATACATTTGATTTCAAAAGATGAAGAAGTTTGCTGCAAGAACTTCTAAAGATATAAATTAGCAAATAAGGAAGTAAAAAAGATAGTTCGATATGCTAAGTTTAAAAGCTTACGATGAATTGTACAAAAAAACTAGATAGTAAATAGGGAGAAAGAGACATTTATAAACTAGCTAAAATTAGAGAAAGGAAAACAAAAGAATTTAACCAAGTTAAGTGCATCAATGGCGAAGACTCAAAGGCGAAAGGCTATTTTAAGAAACTATTAAATAAAAATCACTTAGGAAACTTAGAAGAGATAGAAAATGGTAGGATTCATGAAACATTCTTTTGTAAGATAAAGAATTCGGAGGTATAATTTGCATTGAAGAAAATGAAATTAGGCAAGGCTTTAGGACCGGATGAGATTCCAATTGAAGTTTGGAAGTGCTTAGGGAATGATGGGGTGTTGTGGCTAACGAAATTATTCAATAGAATTATTGGTACTAAAAAAATGCCTAATGAATGGAGAAAGAGTATTTTAGTACCTATCTATAAAAATAAAAGAGATATTCAAAATTGTAATAAATATAGAGGGATAAAATTGATAAGTCATACAATGAAACTATGAAAAATGGTCATTGAACGTCGCCTAAGAGTTGAGACTACAGTCTCGGAAAATTAGTTTGGGTTTATGCCTAATAGATCAATTACAGAAGCTATATATTTATTGAGGACACTCATAGAAAAATATAGAGAGAAGAAGAAAAATCTCCATATGGTATTTATAGATTTAGAAAAGGTGTATGATAAAGTATCTAGAAATATAATATGTAGAGTGCTTGAGAGAAAAAAGAGTAATGAATAGATATATTGAGGTGATAAAGGATATGTATGAAGGAGTTATAACTACAATTAGATCTTCCGTAAGAGAAGGTAAAGAATTTCCAATCACGGTGGGATTACACCAAGGATTGGCCCTAAGTCCATACCTACCTCACTAGGCCCATTCAAGATGATGTCCCACGACATATAGTATTTACAGATGATATTGTATTAGTAGATGAAACTTGAAGGGGGATTAACAATAAGCTAAAAATTTGGAGAGAGATATTCGAGTCTAAAGGGTTTAAAATAAGTATGAGTAAAACTGAATATATGCAGTGCAATTTTAATAATAGAAGAAGTAGACATAGTGAAAAAGTTAAAATTGAAAATCAAGAATTACCAATGAATAAATGATTTAAATATTCTAAGATTGATCATTAAAAATGATGAAGAGATTGGAGATGATGTAACTCATAGAATTAACGCCAGTTGGCTTAAGTGGAGAAAAACCTCCGGCATATTAGGTGATAGAAAGATACCAATAAAATTGAAAAGTAAGTTTTATCGAACAATTATAAGGATAACAATGTTGTATGGGACAAAATATTGGGTTACTGGGAAACAACATAGTGACAAAATGAGTAGCGGAAATGAGAATGTTATGGTAGATGTGTGAAAAAACTAGAAAGCATAGAATACGAAATAATCCTATTAGATAAATGGTAGGAATAGCTCAGGCACTGGTTTGAAAAAGTTATAGAATTTCTCTTAATAGTACTAAAAATAAGGATAAACCTAAATTAACATCGAAAAAAATAATAAAAAAATATTTAACTTAAATGAGTGTATAGCACATGATCGAAATGAATGACGTAGACGGACTCATATAGCCAACCTAAAATGATTGGGACATAAGTCTTAGTTTGGTTTGGTTTGGTTACAAAGATTGCAGCGATGCTATGCTTGCTGCAAGAGAGTGGTATGACAATGCTGAGTTGGAGAAGAGTTTGGAGGATTCATTATATTGCTGTGATATTGATAACGAGAGAAAGATACAAACTGATTAGGTATANAGCTCGAATGATAGGGCTTTCTCACACAGGCAAAGGGGGGTCTCTCCATAGACGAAACAAAGGCTCTCCTCAAAGTCGAAAACTGATGGTTAAGGTCACTGAAGCTAATCGTCGAGCAAAGGGGGGATTGGAGCTTCTGATAGGATCTCCTTAGCCAAGGCAGAGTTGACAATGGGCAAAGGAAGTAGTGAAAAAGGGGCTATAGTGGGAGAGGAGATCTGCGATGGTTGGCAAAGCTAGAGGCAAGATTTTGTGGTCTGTTTCAACATTATGGATGGACAGAGACACATACATTTGATTTCAGAAGATGAAGAAGTTTGCTGCAAGAACTTCTAAAGATATAAATTAGCAAATAAGGAAGTAAAAAAGATAGTTCGATATGCTAAGTTTAAAAGCTTACGATGAATTGTACAAAAAAACTAGATAGTAAAGAGGGAGAAAAAGACATTTATAAACTAGCTAAAATTAGAGAAAAGAAAACAAAAGACTTTAACCAAGTTAAGTGCATCAATGGTGAAGACTCAAAGGCGAAAGGCTATTTTAAGAAACTATTAAATAAAAATCACTTAGGAAACTTAGAAGAGATAGAAAATGGTAGGATTCATGAAACATTCTTTTGTAAGATAAAGAATTCGGAGGTAAAATTTGCATTGAAGAAAATGAAATTAGGCAAGGCTTTAGGACCGGATGAGATTCCAATTGAAGTTTGGAAGTGCTTAGGGAATGATGGGGTGTTGTGGCTAACGAAATTATTCAATAGAATTATTGGTACTAAAAAAATGCCTAATGAATGGAGAAAGAGTATTTTAGTACCTATCTATAAAAATAAAAGAGATATTCAAAATTGTAATAAATATAGAGAGATAAAATTGATAAGTCATACAATGAAACTATGAAAAATGGTCATTGAACGTCGCCTAAGAGTTGAGACTACAGTCTCGGAAAATTAGTTTGGGTTTATGCCTAATAGATCAATTACAGAAGCTATATATTTATTGAGGACACTCATAGAAAAATATAGAGAGAAGAAGAAAAATCTCCATATGGTATTTATAGATTTAGAAAAGGTGTATGATAAAGTATCTAGAAATATAATATGTAGAGTGCTTGAGAGAAAAAAGAGTAATGAATAGATATATTGAGGTGATAAAGGATATGTATGAAGGAGTTATAACTACAATTAGATCTTCCGTAAGAGAAGGTAAAGAATTTCCAATCACGGTGGGATTACACCAAGGATTGGCCCTAAGTCCATACCTACCTCACTAGGCCCATTCAAGATGATGTCCCACGACATATAGTATTTACAGATGATATTGTATTAGTAGATGAAACTTGAAGGGGGATTAACAATAAGCTAAAAATTTGGAGAGAGATATTCGAGTCTAAAGGGTTTAAAATAAGTATGAGTAAAACTGAATATATGCAGTGCAATTTTAATAATAGAAGAAGTAGACATAGTGAAAAAGTTAAAATTGAAAATCAAGAATTACCAATGAATAAATGATTTAAATATTCTAAGATTGATCATTAAAAATGATGAAGAGATTGGAGATGATGTAACTCATAGAATTAACGCCAGTTGGCTTAAGTGGAGAAAAACCTCCGGCATATTAGGTGATAGAAAGATACCAATAAAATTGAAAAGTAAGTTTTATCGAACAATTATAAGGATAACAATGTTGTATGGGACAAAATATTGGGTTACTGGGAAACAACATAGTGACAAAATGAGTAGCGGAAATGAGAATGTTATGGTAGATGTGTGAAAAAACTAGAAAGCATAGAATACGAAATAATCCTATTAGATAAATGGTAGGAATAGCTCAGGCACTGGTTTGAAAAAGTTATAGAATTTCTCTTAATAGTACTAAAAATAAGGATAAACCTAAATTAACATCGAAAAAAATAATAAAAAAATATTTAACTTAAATGAGTGTATAGCACATGATCGAAATGAATGACGTAGACGGACTCATATAGCCAACCTAAAATGATTGGGACATAAGTCTTAGTTTGGTTTGGTTTGGTTACAAAGATTGCAGCGATGCTATGCTTGCTGCAAGAGAGTGGTATGACAATGCTGAGTTGGAGAAGAGTTTGGAGGATTCATTATATTGCTGTGATATTGATAACGAGAGAAAGATACAAACTGATTAGGTATATGATGATATTGCGAGAATGTTTACCGATGATAAGTTGATATCTGTTCAAGAAGAATGTAATATGATACTCCATCACGAATCTAAGGTAATTTGCAATGCTTTTCCTTGTACTTTAGAAGGTAATATTTCCCAAAAAACATCCCACTGATGATTNGAGCTTCTGATAGGATCTCCTTAGCCAAGGCAGAGTTGACAATGGGCAAAGGAAGTAGTGAAAAAGGGGCTATAGTCGGAGAGGAGATCTGCGATGGTTGGCAAAGCTAGTGGGAAGATTTTGAGGTCCGTTTCAACATTATGGATGGACAGAGACACATACATTTGATTTCAGAAGATGAAGTTTGCTGCAAGAACTTCTAAAGATATAAATTAGCAAATAAGGAAGTAAAAAAGATAGTTCGATATGCTACGTCAAAACTTACGATGGATTGTACAAAAAAACTAGATAGTAAATAGGGAGAAAGAGACATTTATAAACTAGCCAAAATTAGAGAAAGGAAAACAAAAGAATTTAACCAAGTTAAGTGCATCAATGGCGAAGACTCAAAGGCGAAAGGCTATTTTAAGAAACTGTTAAATAAAAATCACTTAGGAAACTTAGAAGAAATAGAAAATGGTAGGATTCATGAAACATTCTTTTGTAAGATAAAGAATTCGGAGGTAGAATTTGCATTGAAGAAAATGAAATTAGGCAAGGCTTTAGGACCGGATGAGATTCCAATTGAAGTTTGGAAGTGCTTAGGGAATGATGGGGTGTTGTGGCTAACGAAATTATTCAATAGAATTATTGGTACTAAAAAAATGCCTAATGAATGGAGAAAGAGTA